GTTCCTTGAGCTCTGCCAGCTCCTTGCGCGCATCCTCGATTTGCTGCTCCGTTACGGTCACGGGCACATCGCAGTCAATCTGCTCCTTTCGCACAAATAGCATTTTTTTAATGGCATCCTCTAGAAAGGGTATTTGTTGCGCCTGCAGCTCTTTGTGATAGGCTTCCAGACGCTCCTCCTTGATTTTCTCACAGTAGATGTCTGTCAGCTTCTGCAGAGACTCTTTGCGCGTTACCCAATGGAAATGCGCCGGCGGTGGCTTATAGACCAAGTCTAGCTTCTCCAAAATCCACTCGAAGCGCGGATAATCCCAGCGTCTCAGGTATTTCAGAAACTTTTTACGCTTGTCAATCAGCTCCTTAAGCTGCACTTTGATCATCTTGTCGCGTGGATGCACCTCCATGTGCGATTGATAACGCCGTATAACTGCAGTCATTTTGGCCACTGTTTTTCGTGCAGGCAATATAAAAGAGAGCTATAGTATAAGGAGACCTGAGCAACAAATGGGACAGATCTAGCTTCTCTAATCTCTTCCAGAATGCAGGCTTTTAGCAGAGTAATAGGCAAGGGGGCATGACCATTTGGTCTGTTGTTTTTCCCAGAAGTTTAATGAAAATTAACATGTACTTACGTTTCGCTTCCATGGAGCCATAGTCCTGTTCATGACGCTGCACCTCCTTGACCATTTGGTCACGATAATAACGCGTAGTCAGATGATTCCGATTGTTGCTTAGCATAAACATTGATTTGACCGTTTCGTCGGCACTGAAAAGTAATTGCAATTTTGAATTGATAGGCATTCTAGAAAGTGAGAAAAACACAATTACTTTGCCAGCTCCTTGGAGTCCTTGTATTCCGGCAGAATCTCATTGGGATTCAGCGGTGGCAGCTTGGCCAGATCGCCGCTTTTCTCCGGCTTGATGCATGATATCTTTTCCGGTCGCACCCATTTGATTTTCAGATCTGACTTAAACGCATAGTCACGCACAAATTGGCGCGGCACGGCGTGCACTACATTTAATAGTTTATTCATAAATAATAACTTTAGTGTTGCATCCAAATGCGTTTCGCTGCTAGAGGTTATATCACTTGGCCAGTGTGCACACAAATACAGAAATTAGATTATACCGGGCACAGCTGATCATAAACAGTGTGCACACACCATGGCAAAGCAAGCGAAAATGCAGCACCAGGTGTTGCTGTATTTTGTGAGTGTTGTGTTTGTTGTGACCAGATATTGCGACAATTGTGAAATTTAAGATATTTAATTTTGTTTTAAATTGGATTTATAATATTTGACAATGGCGCACATGTCACATATGCTACCACAAGCGTCAACAACGTCAGGCGTTTCATCAGGTAGCTCCTCACGTACCATGTCTCTGATGGAGAAACAAAAGTATATCGAGGACTACGATTTTCCGTACTGCGACGAAAGCAGTAAATATGAGAAAGTGGCCAAAATAGGTCAGGGCACATTTGGGTGAGTCGCTGGGACATACATATGTCAGTTGTATCCAAATAAAATATGTTGCACCAACAACTGTTGTTTGTTTACGCTGCAGCGAGGTGTTCAAGGCACGCGAAAAGAAGAGCAACAAAAAGTTTGTGGCCATGAAGAAGGTGCTCATGGACAATGAAAAGGAAGGCGTATGTACACACTGTTCCAACTGCAATCTGGTCTCATTAATCGCAATTTCATCATGCTTCTACAGTTTCCCATTACGGCCCTGCGCGAGATACGCATCTTGCAGCTGCTGAAGCACGAGAATGTCGTCAATCTCATTGAGATTTGCCGCACCAAGGCGACCGTTCACAACGGCTATAGATCCACTTTCTATTTGGTCTTTGATTTCTGTGAGCATGATTTGGCTGGTCTGTTGTCCAATATGAATGTCAAATTCAGTCTGGGTGAGATCAAGAAAGTGATGCAGCAACTCCTCAATGGCCTCTACTACATACACAGCAACAAGGTAGCCAAACAAAAATCGAGAGCTCCTTTAAACGTTGACATATGCCACATTTCTTCTTCAGATTCTGCATCGCGATATGAAGGCGGCCAATGTGTTAATCACAAAACATGGCATTTTAAAGTTGGCCGATTTTGGTTTGGCCCGTGCATTTAGCATTCCAAAGAACGATTGCAAGAATCGTTATACAAATCGTGTGGTTACGTTGTGGTATCGTCCGCCAGAGCTGTTGCTCGGTGACCGCAACTATGGACCGCCTGTGGATATGTGGGGCGCCGGCTGCATTATGGCCGAAATGTGGACACGTTCGCCCATCATGCAGGGCAACACAGAGCAGCAGCAGCTGACCTTCATCTCACAATTGTGCGGCTCATTTACGCCAGACGTTTGGCCGGGCGTCGAGGAACTGGAACTGTACAAATCCATTGAGTTGCCAAAGAATCAGAAGCGACGCGTCAAGGAGCGTCTACGTCCCTATGTCAAGGACCCAACTGGCTGTGATTTGCTAGACAAACTCTTGACACTGGATCCCAAGAAACGCATCGATGCGGATACAGCACTGAATCATGACTTCTTCTGGACTGATCCCATGCCTAGTGATCTGAGCAAAATGCTTTCACAGCATTTGCAGAGCATGTTCGAGTATTTGGCGCAGCCGCGTCGCAGCAATCAGATGCGCAACTATCATCAGCAGCTGACAACGATGAATCAGAAGCCGCAGGATAATAGTATGATTGATAGAGTCTGGTAGAATTTAAGCACTATTATTATGATTAAGTTAGATGTGAACATATACAATTGTAATTGACTGTATATGCAGCGGTTCAAAGAAGTCTCGGATTTAAGTGTATATCAACATAAATATTTTTAAATATATTGTTAGTGCGCTGAAAAGCAAACATTTCCATACAAAACACATGCAAATTCTTTACTGTCGCGTTTACTAGGAACAAACTTTGTGTCTAGCTCTATATGTACGGCCGTGCTAGTGTGTACACACTTTAAAGTTTTTTGGTATTTTTTTTAGGCAATTGTGCACACACTTGACGAGATGCACGTTGAGCAAAAGGTAAACAAGGCCAAAAAGGCGGAGAAAAAGCAACGTCGTTGCCTGGCAATTATAAAAGCTGACTGTAATGTGTCTCAAAGTGACTCACCTACGCTCTACCTGGCCATACTCAATGTGGGACTGAGCAATGGTCTCAACGAAGAAGCACTACTGGCTGCGGCTGCTGCAACAGGCGGCCAAGTGTCGCAGGTGCTGATGCTGCCCTCGAAATCGTATTGTTTTCTGGCATGCACCACATTGAACGATTCCCAGCTTGTGTACCAGGGCATGCACAATCGGGCGACCATTGGTCAGCAGGGCGCCGTTGCCTACCTCAGTTACGTGCTGCAGTTGCCCAAGGACATAGAAGAAAACGGTTGGCAGCAATCGCTGCCCAATGGTCTCGTGCTGCTGCCCAACTTTGTCAATGAAACGGAGGAAGCAGCTCTGCTCCAGGCAGTTGCTGTTGTTGGCCCTGGTTCTGCCAGCACGGCGGACACTAATCTGAAGCACAGGCATGTCAAGCATTTTGGCTATGAGTTTCTTTATGGCAGCAATAATGTGGATCCGCTGCAACCGCTGGAACAGCCCATTCCGACTGCATGTGATTTCTTGTGGCAGCGCTTGGCCTGCTGCGAAGCGCCAGCACTTGATACACCCGATCAGCTGACTGTCAATGAGTATGAGCCCGGACAGGGCATACCACCGCATGTGGACACACACAGCGCATTCGTAGATCCCATACTCTCGCTCTCGCTGCAATCCGATGTGGTCATGGACTTTCGTCGCGGTCAGGAGTTTGTGCACGTGCTGTTGCCACGCCGTTCGCTTCTGGTCATGTCCGGCGAATCGCGATATGATTGGACGCACGGCATCAAGCCCAAACACATTGATGTCATACCCACGCCAGCGGGCAGCCTGACGACGCAGTCGCGCACCAAACGAACTTCACTCACCTTTAGGCGATTGCGCCGAGGACCCTGCGATTGCCAATATCCCACGCTCTGTGATACGCGTCAGACCACAGCTCCACGGGCGGTGACTGACGAGCTGGCCACGCATGCGAGTCACCTGGAGCAGCAAAATGTGCATGAAGTTTATGACAAGATTGCGAATCATTTTAGCGATACGCGTCACACGCCCTGGCCGCAAGTTGCCGAGTTTCTGAACAGCTTTGAGCCACACTCGGTGCTGCTGGACGTGGGCTGTGGCAATGGCAAATATCTTGGCTGTAATCCCCAATTGCTGGCCATTGGCTGTGATCGTTCGCTCGGTTTGCTGGGCGTTAGCAATGCGCGAGCCCGAAACGTCTTTCGTTGCGATTGCCTGCAGCTGCCGGTGCGCAGTGGCAGCATTGATGGCTGCATTAGCATTGCGGTCATACATCATCTGGCCAGCGGGGAGCGTCGGCTGACAGCGCTGCGTGAGCTGTCGCGTGTGCTGCGTCCAGGCGGTCGTGCGCTCGTCTATGTCTGGGCGAAGGATCAGCGACGGAACGACAACAAATCGGCCTATTTGCGTCAAAACAAAGCCGTCAACAAGCAGCGCACCACAGAGCAGGCGCAGCGCCAGAAGCTCGCACAGCAATTGGAACGTATGGAGCTGGACCAACAGCAGCTACAGGTGCCTGTGCCGCTGCCGGTGCACACAAATCGCACCGAGTTCCAGCAGCAGGATGTCTATGTGCCCTGGAAAACCAAAGATGAGCAGCGCACAACATTTCTGCGCTACTATCATGTCTTCGAGGACCAGGAACTGGAGCGTTTGGTGTCGCAAGTGGAAGACATAGTGCTTAGGCGCAGCTACTATGATCAGGGCAATCATTGTGTGATCTTTGAAAAGATGCCGCAATGAAAATATAATCTGCAAATAAACCAAAAAGATCTGCTTGAAAAATTCAATGTTTGAAAATATGCTTTATAAATAAAAATAAATATATAAAAAAATGTTTGCAAATTAAATGTGTTAGTTCAATACGTAAATCACATGTTAATTAAGTAATTCGTTTATTTGATTTCAAAAAATACACATCCATATATTTTTTATTTAATCGCGAATTGAACGTAGACCAACTATAACTTAGTTAAGCTTAATTCTTACCCATTCAAATGGTATTTGTTTCATGTTTTTTATTGTAGCTTTGGACCATAATTTGACAATTCCTTAATAACAACATTTCGTGTTCCATTCGGATAATCCAGTTTAGAAATGTTTCAGTTGTTAGTTGCGTATGGAGTTCGTGTTGTATTCATAGTGGGTTTAAACGAGCTTAGTAGAGTGCGTGTGTATATACATAAGAATTGTTGAAACAGTGTGCATAGTTTAAGTTAAATGGTATTATTAGTAGGGGATTATTCAAGCAAGTATTGCTCAGAGAATTTAAGTAACATAAGTAAAGTTTAAAGAACTAACTAGAGAAGAGAGAGCAAATGGTTTCTGCGCTGCCATCAGTTCTATAATCGATATAACTAACATATATGCATGATAGGTACATCAAGTGAAACTGTTTGAAAATGCACGCTTAGACACTAAGAGGATACATTATGAGTTCGTACACACACCTATATTTCTCTATATCTATATCTATAGCTATAAAGAAGTATATTTCGTTTAAAATGACATCTATACATAAACGTACAAGTACAAGTAGTTTTAAAAACACTTAGAACTCATCCTGGGCACTTTCTTACTTGACAAAAATTACAATATCATTATAGGAATTTAAATTTATAGACTAGTTTACAGTTTCAACGTTTCGTTTTTGGTCGTGGGTATTTGATATGTTAGCTAGTAGGTAAGATAAGTAAGTAACATTTTTGACTAGGTTCAATATTTGTGCCTACAAGCTATTTAGTGGGTATTTCAACTACCTTTAGGGTATACGTGTATAGGCTGTTAGTGAAAATATATACTCATAGAGGTGTATATATGTATATAAACATGTGTAGAGTGCCCTAGGTTTGGCTATAACTATTAATATGTGTGTGTATACATATGTATATATTATAGGTATATATCGGTATAGGAGAACAATTAGGAGTATATAACTTTATCAACAGGTTGTTAGTCTGCCTATGTCTAGGGTTAAACCAGAAATTCATCATAATATTAAAGCCTGATAGTTTACTTGTTTGTCGTTAAAGCTGATTTATCAGTTGTGTGTGTATATAACGCCGTATAAACATCGTCTATATATTTTTTTTTTAATGTTCATATATGTATACTTCAGTCATTGTTGAATATACAAAGCTTTCTTGCAATATTTCGATGCCCTCTATTTTGTTTTGGTACAATAACTACACCTACGCCCTATGCCCTATGTCTACTCTTACATCTACATCTACTTCTACTGCCTGAAGAGGCGTGTTAATCCTCCCCAGCTTTACCGAAACACTTATTTGAGCAGCTGGCATACTTCTTATTACCTTTCCATCTGAGTCAAGGATTGGGCGTCGTTTGTGTGTGTGTGTGTGTGTGTGTGCGAGTGAGTGTTTTGCTGTGTCTGGTGCTTCTTCTGTGACTGGGACTGGGTATCCAGTTGCCTTGAATGAGCGCGCTTAGATAAATGTTTCGGCTGCCATCTGTTACAAGCATTCTGCCAGCGGCGGCTTCTCAATTGGAGGCGATGGTCCCGACACGGAAACCATTGGCACGGCACCGATCTTGGGTTTGATTATCTTAAGGCCGAGACTCAGATTTTTGGGGCTACTGTGCGGCGATGAGGAGGCCGTCGATGAGCGCTGATGCACTAGCACACGCGGCTTAGCCTCTATGGCAATGCTGGGCGTGGAGGCGGCAGAAATGGAGGATGTGGCCGTTGCACTGGCCAGCAGCGGCACATGCACCAGTTCCTCGACTGTTTCCGCAGAATCCTGTGAATCGTGCACAATGGCCGAGGCATCGCTGTGAATCAACGCTGATATAGAGTTGGTGTCATCGTCTTGCATATACGGCGGTGGTGCCTCCAGTGAAATGCTGCCTACTATGACATTGGCCGTGGTAATAGCAGAGGCACGCGCCAGCAAACTAGTCACAGCTGTTTTCGGTTGCTTGGCGTCGTGGAGCACGGGCAGCGTTAGCAGCTCGCCAGCGTTGCCGCCGCACTCCTTCATTTCAATGTCCTGGGAAGAGTTTTGCTGCTGCTGCTGCTGGACGGAGTCATCATCTGTGCGCCACGGACGCAGACTCTTCTGCAAGCCAAATATTTATTATGTGCTCGTGTGCCGTAGAACGACTACTTACCCTGCGTCCATTGTCGGTAATATTCTCGGCACTCTTGGCCTTGCGACAGAGCACACTCTGTGAGCCATGGCGGCGCAGGAACTCAATGGAATCGAATCCGCGACCCTCCGACGAGACGAATATGGCCGAATTGATGCGACTGCGCGTGCAGCGTTCCGATATCGATGTGGAGCGCTCCTCCGCCAGCATGTGGATGTGCTGCAAGATAGAGATCATTAGTAAGGCATTGAATAATGCGTTCACATTTTGGAGTCTTTGCGATGATTTCCTTACGCGGCTATTGCAGTGCAACGGTGGGTGAGCAAAGGTGCCGCCACATTCACTGCTGTCGAACTGTATTCTCAATGCAATATATTGAAATAGAGAAAGAGAGAAGAGAAATAACAGATAAGGAAAGAGACCCAAAGAGAGGTGGAAGAAATTTCAGACATTACACACAACACACAAACACACACGCATACACACACACACACACACACACACAATTTCTATATCGAAGAAAAGGAGTTAAGGGCTTTAATGTTGCCGCAACGATTTACTAAGCTCTACGCAAGTAAATGTCCTCCTTCAGGCGATTAACAACAATTAACAACAACAACGGCAAGCGAAAAGCGTAAAGCAACCTGCACAAACAACTACAAAAGCGAGTGAGCGTGAGTTTGAATTTGGTGTTCTTTGGTTTGCTCGGAATAGGCGGCTGTGTTCTGGCTGTGCTTTGGTGAAGCGCGAGTCTGGAATTGACTCTCTAATTGTACAAGGTGTAAATGTTTGATATTTGTGTTCAGGTGCGTTTTTTTGTTTGGTGCTCTAAAATACTTTTCAACGCTGCAAACGGCGGGCGAACAAACGGTATACGGTTTAACGATAAGCGATTAACGATTAACGTGCCCAATGTACAACAACACGAAGTGCATGGCGTTTGGTGCAATTATCGGAATCGATAAGCGAGCGAAACGAACGAACTTAACGAAAGAATGAACGAATGAACGAACGAACAAACGAACGCACGCACATAATGAACGAGCATTCGGACGAACGAACGTTCGATTCGGTTTTCGTTTCTCGTTTTTCGTTTTTCGGTTGGCGTTTCGAAAAGCACTTACGCTGGCCGGTTCACTGTAGTTGCTGTGATTGAGCATGGACGATTCGGTGTGTATGGTATCGCTGGCGACCATGCTGTGATATTTCTGCAGCTGCAGCGTGGACGAGCCGCGACTCTCGCGCGATCCATCCCGGCTGCGATCGGCGCACGAATACTGTCGCCGGTACTGTCGACGCCGGCGTCCAACATTGGCCGCAGCAGATGCGGAGCTGCCGACTCCAGATCCGATGGGTGCGCCAATGTTGATGCCGACACCGGCATTACCGACGGCAGCTGTGCCGTAATCAGCATATGCCAACGGTCTAGACGGCAACGGAGGCGGGCGAAAGTAACTGGGATCATAGCTGAACTGTCGCCGTCGCCACTGATCGTATTGCCGATAGTGGCTGAAGAGGCGCCGTCGGCGCAATATCAATTGCTTCTTGGCCTCGAGCACCTCGTTCTCCTCGACAAAGGTGCGCTCCTGCGAGTTCTTTAGTATGCTGCGCTGTTGCGCAAACCGACGCTGCTTGACATGACTGTTGACCGAGAGGGGCAGCAGGCGTTGCGGTGCTGGCTCTCGTTGCAGCAACTGCTCATCCTCGGCTGGCGGGTAGCCGTTATCTCTGGCATCCGTATCTGCATGCACATCATCCGCATCCCTATCGGGCACAGCACTATCTATGCTATCCACATGATCCAGCACATGGGCGCCCACAATGGACTGATTGTCGACGCTGGGTCCGCGCACATACGTATTGATGGGCGTGCCATGGCTATGGCTAACTGCCGTTGTGGGCGTGACCGGTTCACGATGCACTGGTTGCTAGCTCTCCACGTCCGCCTTGTGGAGCAGCGCAAACTGGCAGCCGCAATCGCGCTCCAGCTCCCGGCGCGGATACTGAAAGCAGCGATCAAAGATGCCGCAGCCCTCGCAGCGGGGCAAGCACTGAGTGCAGCGATAAACAGTAGAAAGAGAGAGAGAGAGAGGGAGAAAGGAAAAGAGAGAGAGAGAGAGCGGCAGCGGGCGAGAGCAAGAGCAGGCGACAGCGATTTTTTTTTTTTTTTGGGTGGAATTAAGGAACATTTGTCAGTGATATTCATTGAAAACTCGACACCTCAACAAAGCTCAACAAAAGCTAAACTAATTACGAAATATGTATAGGAAATGCAGATGGGGATTGTCTTGAATATGGTTTTTTATTTTTTAGGTGTTTCCATGCTCGAAACCATCAAACATATACAAATGGATCAATGGAACTGGTTAGGTCAACCGCCTGGGTGCAGTTCTAAATGTGACAATATGTATATGGAAATTGGCTTGAAGAGAGTTGAAGTACGTTTCTAAGAAGAAGAAGTATATAAAAAAATATCTTCGGTGCGCACCGAAGCCAAAGTACTCCACAAAAAACTTCTAGAGAGCATCGATCTTTGATAGAGTATATGTTGAAATTCTACAAAATGAGGCAAAGCTAAATCAAAGAATACTACAAAAAGCTTGGTTCTTAAGCAAATTATAGTTAAGTAGTAGTAGAAATTAAAGCTTTAGATATGAGAATCTTACGCAACCCCAAAATTATTTACTCTCTATTATTATGCATACGGAAACTTAGCTGAACCCGACGTAATTCAGTTATCACAAAAGTATGCTACAGAAAATTTACATTTTCCCGGCATGTTATCGTCACGATATCCAAATAATATCTGACATAGCTCCGAAACAGACAAATATTTCTGTGAAAACTATATTTAAAACGTTTCGAATTGTTATAGAAACTAAGTGAATCCCCAGCTAAAGCATTTGAATATTTCAAAACATAGTTTTCAATGAGATAGAAATGGTTTTTGATAGAGCGGGGGCTGCGGGGCGGGCTGTGTGCACTGGTTGAAGAAAATAGTGCAATATTTTTCATTAAAATTCAAATCGTATTTACTTGACTTATTGCAAAAAGCTAATGAAACGCAAACAAAAAACAAACAAAAAAATCGAAATTTGTTTGCAGTAATTAATTGATAAATGAAATATTTTGAATACCTTGACAAAGAAATCGGGGTGTAGGTTCTATAAATAAAGCGTAACAGAAATGAAACAATGGTTAAAGTTCAATTCGCGCTCATTTAACAAATTACTTAATAACCCCTTAGCCCAGCGAGTTGCTCTGCTTAACCCCAACCCCAAAAAAGTCTCGATTATCCCGCCCCGATTGGAAGCATATCGCCAGTACAATCCCTACCTGATGCGAGTGCTGGCCATTGCAGCCGCTGGCGCTGCACACGCCCGTGCCGGGCACCTTGAGCTGCTCGTGCTTGTAGTCCGGCTGATAGGGCAACAGCATACGGATCTTGCCCCAGCGATTGAAGAACAGCGCAATGGCGCCCGCCCAAACCATCAGAACGATGAGCACAATGCCAATCTCTACGCCACGTATCTGGAAAATTGATTGGAATGCAACAAGAGATAATTAAAGGTATGAACGGCATGAACGTTATGAATGTCTAATAGATTGAAATTAAGAATGCACTTTTCTATAGATTTCAGATGCGAACTAACCGTTGGCAGCTCCCGCGCTGTTCTGTGCGTCAGCGTATTGGTGGCCGTGGAGGTGACATCGTCGCTGCCATTGCCGGAGCCATTGCGGCCATAGATGCCCGGCGGAAAGTCCTGCTGTGATGTGTTCTTGGGCAGATCTATGGTAGATGTTAAGCACGGATAACATAAGGCAAATTGACATATATTAAGCTACCGGCTGTGGACTTACCGAGAGTGCGAAATTTAATCTGGCCGCGACTGCGATATTTTTTGCCCATCCAAATGGCTGTGACAGATAGGGAATACTGTGTGCTGGGCAGCAGACGGTCCAGGACAATGGCCTCGCTGTTGCCGGCAACGTCCTGTACAACCCTGTAACTTAAATTAATTCAATTACCACTCTCGAACGGCAACTAACTGTGACAAGATGTGTATGTGTGTGTGTGTGTGTGTGTGTGTGCAGCTAATTGCGCAAACTACAATAAATGGTTAGCTGCGTGGAGACGTGAAATATGAGGCCAGGTCCGTGGCTCGTAATTACAGCATGGGCCCAATATTTCACTTTGTCACTTTGCCAGGCAGTTAGCCAAACATGTCCTAGATTTTCCCGCAATTGAGCTCGTATTACGCCTCCATATACATAGCATATATATATATATACTGTATATATCTGTTTGTGTGTGTGTGTGTGTGAGAGAGCTAACAAGTGCGTGGCCAGGCCAGGCTGCCTAGACTTGTGGCCTTTAGTTCGATGTCTCCTGTTACAGTGTTACAACAGGCTGGCAAATGATTCATTATTCATGCATAACATACAGTTACAGTTACATTCATGCACTCACACACACACACACACACACACACACATACATACAGGACGTCGCAATGGGCCCCAATGGAATCGCCTTTTGTTGCCTGCAGCCATAACAAAAACAAAGAGAGAGACAGAAAAAAAAAACTAGCGACAAGTGTGTAAATAATTAAACTCCAAACGACTAGCAAATACCCTCTGAAAATGTTATTTAATCAATATAACGAATACTAAAAATATAATTCAACAATTAAAGCACTTCTCTTCGGAGTTTCGCTCAAAGAAATTGTTTTGGTTTTAAAGTCGAATTCACATACTTTTATTATTGAACAGCCTAGTTTTTTGTTACGCTCTCTTTGTTCTTTACAAGTTCTTATTAATATTTCTTTCAATAATTATATGTATTTATCATATTTGAAGGTTGTTCTGTGCCTGAAACTTGTTAATAGTCCGAGCAGGAAATTAATATAATTATATACAAGAACTATAAGTTGGGATTTAGTTTAAGGGAATTTAAAATTAAGTAGACAACGTTTTTAAAGCTTGACGTAGCGCGGAGAACTGCACGTTCTCGCCGAATAATATTTATGGTATTCTTATTTTAATTATGTCTTATGTCGGAGCTTCTCAATAATTACTTTAGTCGTTTTAGTTTAATTAAAGCATGCCGTATATGATTTATTATCTTGCTTCTGCGCCTTCACAAATCTCTAGAGCCGAACAGGATTCGACTTGATAATCTGCTTCTAGTTTTCTTTCATAAACACGTTGAGTCAGACCAGATGTTGCCTTTAATTTCCATAAATGTATGCAGTAAACTTTTTGCCAAAACGAGCCACACTTGTCTGTTTGTACGTGACACTACCCTGTAAATTCCCCTGCTGACTATCAAATTAAATAGAGATGCATGCCGTATGTTTTTATGTAGCCGATATGCCCCATGCATGACTTAAGTGCCATAAAATTGTTTTTGGTACCGCTTTATGCTAACTTTATGCAGCCAAATAACGCAACACATGTGTGAGAATGTCGAAAGTTTTTGGCTTCTGAAAGTTAACACCAAATGTCAAGAGCGCGAGATAGAGACAGAGACAGAGAGAGAGAGAGGGAGAGAGAGGGGGAGAGGTCAACGGTTCGAATCCACCATCTAACCGCAATTTGCACGCACACCAAAACCGTTCGGCGGTTTTCTGGTTTAGTGACTCGCATTAGCAATGCAGATGAATTTAGCGCTGGGGAATTGAATTTTCATACGGGCCAAATGCACACAAGTAGCTGGGCTCAAATTGTTCCAAATAACATGTTTGATTTTTTGCTACCTTTCCCTACCAAATTGGTTTTAGCCTTTTCCCTTACGTTTTTTTTTTGTTTTTTGTTTCTGTTCAAGTTCCAGGCCAATGGATTTCCTGACGCCGTTGAATAAACAATCAGCTACGCTTACAATTGGCCCCTTTCAAAAACTGTGTCCATTACTCAAACTCCAAATTGAAAATGCAAGCTATGTACATACGTTCGCCATATGTGTGTACACACACACAGACACACATGTGTGCAGCTAGTGGAAACCATTTTGCTTGGCATTTTTAATAACTCATGATGTACATTGTGCGGGTTTTCGGTTTTATGTTGTTTGCTTTTGTTTTTAACATAAGCTGCACAGTTCTCATATTTTCTAAAATTTTGCGACAATACACACACACACATACACAAATTCAGCCACATAAAAAGTTGTGGTTACATATAGTATAAGCATTATATGTGTTTTTTTTTTTCTTCTGTCCAATCAGGCTAAAACTTTATTGCCCTTCTGGGGCGCATATTCAACTAAATTTTAATCTGTTTCGATTTGCCCAAAACTGGTTTTAAGCAGCTTACATAAATGACTTTAGATTGACAACGAGGGCTTAAGCCAAAAAGAGGGCTACGCAGCACATGCAGGTGGCAGGTTCGAATCCGCCCTTGGCGTTCAACCAGGATAATAATAAAAAAAAAACAAGAACTGTCTTAAATTTTGAAATGGCTCTGATTTAATCTGTTTCTAAATGCCAAACTAACTGACTAAGTTTATAAAAGTTTGCGTCGTTTAAGCGCAAATACAATCAAAAAAGTTGATTAAGTATACGTCATGTTGTGCAGCAGACGGGAAAATTACCACCTGTGCTCGCAGCTTATTTTCAAAATGCAAAATTTGTTTGCCACCAAAATTATATGCATGATAATATCCAAACCAATTAAACGATTGAAAAGAATAAAGCGAGCAAGCAAAGTGAAAAACGAAAGAAACGGAAGTGCAAATTGTGTAGCGCACTTAGCGGGGCCTTGACTCTTGGCCTTTTCGTAACGATTGTAATTAGGAGCTGTCAGTGGCAAATGCTCGAAATATGCTAAATAAATGCTGTGCAGCTAATGCTGACAGCAAATTCTTTGATATTTCAACTGCACATATTTCATATGGCTTATTATAATGTGAATATATTTCAGTATTGATTGGAAAATATTCAACCTATGCAGTAGAATTGTCGGTAATTGTTATTAATTATTATTGTTATTGATGGCGTTTGACAAATTGAACCACATAGCCTTTGCCAGGTGACAGGCGACAGTCCAGGCACACATGTGCATATGTACACTCGCAGAAAATCTAGTGTACATAATCTAGCATATATAAATTAGAAAGTGCTGATAATTTTGACTCTTTTTGACAGTATTTTCTATTTGATCCATGCTGATTCAAAATTCCTTGTCTGAGAAACTGCGTTTATACCAGTCTTAAGAGTCTCATTTTTCTCTCAGTGTACATATATATGTATATACATATTTATCTATTTTGTAAAGTCCACCAGAAAGGCATGCAACTAAAGATATGTAATTTCTATCTACGCGTCTAGCACAAGGGCGTGTATACACACATATATATATTTAAATGTATTTGTGTGTGTTTGTTATGTGGGGGGCTAGTCCCATTGGGGGAGGGACTACTACCAGGTTATAGACCCATTCAGCGTCGAGTCGAGTCATCGTCAACGTGTCTGTGTACTAATCATACATTATTCATCAGCACAATTTTACTCGAAAAACGGCTGGAAGATATACACCCCACCCTGCGCAGCCCCCCCTGAGTGCCCCATCTAATGAGTACTAAAAATCGATAGTAAAGAAAAACACAGAAATTAAAAAAAAACAAACCAACTTATAAATGAATGTCCATGAGAATTGTATGAGAAACAATAACGAAAAAAACAATGAAATGAACGTAATAAAATTTTGATATAGGCGTGAACTTTATGAAACAATAACAACAATGTTGGGCATTAAAAGACAACACGCGCATGCAGCCAAAAACACACACACTCATACGCACACACACACACACACACTCATATTACATTGAAAACACCTTGAACCACAACAACAACAACCGAAGACAAAAGGAGGCAGGGCAGGACAACAGCAACAGCCTGCCTAACGGCATTGCAGCCGCAGTCAAAAAAGTCACAAAAGCCAAGCACTTAACTTATTACACGGCATTCCAATGTCCTTCCAACATTTGACGTGTCCCGCCCCCCGTCACCCGTCACCCGTCCCACTCTCCCGCCTTGTCTCGAACGCAAGCGGAAGTCCTTAGTTTGTAGTCGTTAGCAGAGTCCTTCCTGGTCGCAGTTCGACTTCTACTCGAAATATGCAACGCCACTTGAATTGGATATTCTATTTTTTCTTCTTTTCTTTTTAGACGAGAGAAATCGCTGTGTAAGCGGGACGGGAGAAGGTAGTAAAGAGAGGGAGAGAGAGAGAGAGAGAGGGAGTCGCAATGTAGAGCAGCCGCAGCTGGCGGCTAGAACAGAAAATATTACAACTACAAGCATGTTTTGTTCTGCCTCGCACTTTCCTCCCATTTTCCCGCTACCTTCCTGCTGCTATGCAGCAGTTTATACGCTTTCTCGCCGAGTGCCTGCAGTGCAATACACTGAGCGAAATTTAATGAATGCCTTAGCAGTATCTCTTACTTGACAGTTAACAATAAAAGTGTTTTATTGGCCATTTTTAGCTATTTTAGATATAGCTATTTTTCATTATCATTATATAAAATAATCAAAGAAAGAAATTTTGTCCTATTATTATATTAGATATTTGGAGGTACTATTTCCACATGAATTTTTAACCCGGAACAATGTAATATTAAGATGCCAAACTAGTCTAGGGGCCAAACCATGAAGAATATGTCAAGCCTCTTGAAAATCGGTAGAGTTTTGCCCGAGTTATGGGGTTGGGAAATTTCGACCTATGTCTATATGAGATATTTTAGGGTACCATTTTTACATGAATTTCGACCAAAAATCATGTTGCCAGATTTAGATGCACAATTGATCTAGAGGTCAAACCATGCACAAAAAGCCAAACCTTTTGAAAATCGGTAGAGTTTTGCCCGAGTTATGGGGTTGGGAAATTTCGACCTATGTTTATATGGGATAATTGAGGGTACCATTTATACATGAATTTCGACCAAAAATTATGTTGCCAGATTTAAATGCACAATTGATCTAGAGGTCAAACCATGCACAAATAG